CATGCATAGACAGTAGGTTAAAATAAGGCTGCATCGCAATGAGGCGGAATAGCGGCATCTGTAGGTTAAATATGTTAAGCCATCTATCATCTGCTGTAACTGCGTGGCAAGGCCAACATTTCTTTTTTATCAGGAAAGAAGCTAAATCCGACAACCGAATAGCATGCCTGCCGTCGTCGTGGGAACTGCGGTGCCATGCCGTTCTTGTTCAGTGAGACAAGTAAACTCTACCGTGTGCTGCCAGGATTAACTCCTTTATCTTATGGTAAAGAGCAGTGCAGGTTAAAATAAGACTAACGTAATATGGAGCAGGAGTGGATGAATCTGGTTAAAGAGTTTTAAGCCTGGAACAAAGGATGAGTTGATGAATGAAATGAATTGTGACCATGAAACATTTGATTCAGAGCAAAACACTATTAGAAAAGTGAAAAAAGGCAAAAGTATAAGACTGTGTCCATAATTGTTTTGGATGATTGATTCATCACTGTACTATTCTTGTTGATCTCTACAGACCCAATTACTTTGCCATGAGACACGTCCTGCCCTGAAGATCCATTGATTCGAATGCAACAATATCCTTATCCCTTTACACCAATGGACCCTCAGGTGTGCCCCCTCCGTCAGAACAGCAGCCAGTCTCTGATTAGCCTCGACAGGTCCCCCGCCAGCACTTTTAAACCTGGCCACTCACGGAGCAGCAGCACTGGCTCCTCCAAACATTCAAAGCAGGTAACCAGTCTAAAGAGGAAAAACAAACATTTAAGTAGAACACCCTAAAGCCTATACTCACCTGTTTACTGTATTTTATTGTATTTTGCACCATATTGGCTACTTACAAATTCATTGTTTCCCATCTATTTGAGTTGTCTTTCTGTTCTTAAAATGTAAAAAGTTAAACAGACTGGCCTCGCTTCAGCTTGCGCAGCCACATTCCTACGACGGGTCGATGCATGTTGCGCAAATTTATGTATTTACGTAATCGATGACGTCGAGGCTTCATCCCAGCCTTTCCTGTAGATTTTTTTCAGACATTGGAAAGGCATTGGATGAAATCTAAATAGTGATGACTGTAGTTTATCAAATTCAGATTTTTTTCACTATTAATATTCACTCCTCCATTGGTGACAGTGGTGAGTGAATTTAAATTTCTGGGTGGGCTGTCCCTTTAATGTTCGTCCATACAGGTTGTCCTTTAACCCGGCTCTTACTGGTTAAATGTGATTTATCAAATTCTGTTGTCTCAGAATATGTTGACACTCATATTTAAAAGAAATCGGGTTTATTTCTTAAACATGGTTTATTTTGTGATCCCTGTCTGTGTTAGTCTCGTAACTGGGAGGTGATGGAGGATTTGCAGCACCTGGATCTGTGTTCAGTTCCCAGCTCCTCTCAGGACCTTGGTATCCCTGGGATCTGTGAGGGCTACTTGATGAAGAGGAGGAAGTACCCGCTCAAAGGCTGGCACAAGGTGAGCTCAGCATGTGAACATTTCTGTTCTGTTAAGTCAACATTGCACTGAATCATGCCTGCTGTTTTATTTTCTAACATCCCACTTTGATCGTCCTTTTCAGAGATACTTCCTTTTAGAGAGAGGAATTCTCAAGTACTCAAAAACACAGCAAGATGTAAGTGAACAGAAATGCACCTTCCTGGTCCACAAACATGAGCACCTGTGTTCATAGATTGATTTTAGTGTGGCCTAACAGATTTCTGTAAAGTAGTTTGATAGGTGAAAAGGGCACGTATAAAAGAAGCACTATTGTCTCGTTTCAGATTCAAAGAGGGAAGCTCCATGGCTCTCTGGACATCAGTCTGGCTGTCATGTCCATTAACAAGAAGTCCAAACGTATAGACCTGGATGCTGGAGACAACCTTTACCACGTCAAGGTAACTTACACACTGAAGAGGTGGTAACACAATGTTTAGGGACACTCAAAGCATTTGACTGCAATTTACAAAATGTTTTTTGAGGAGAACTTGATCACATGAGCCTCATAAGTTAACCACTCTATTACCTAAGCGTTATTTGAATATAGCCACATCAAACCAAAGGGTTTTTTGAAAAGCTGACACAATTGCAAAGTTTTGGAGGCACTCATTAAAAGAAAAATTTAGTTTTAATTTTAAATCATTGCCTTTTCCCCACACTTCATGAAAGCTGGCATTTAGTTAACCTAAGCCTCTTAAGCTTGGCTTACACTGAACAATTTAAGCCAGTTTTTGCCCCAAATTCTGAGAGGAGTCATACGATTTTCCACTTGGTTCTGTGTCTTTTACTGTTCAATGTACAGGGGGGAGTGAGTGTCTTGGTCTTGATGGTGCATATATACACATATGTTGTATCCATCCAAATGTATTAAAAGATCCAAATGAAGAAATCAAATGTTCAGTAACTCTTTTGTCTCATGTAAACATAACTGTATAACTTTCTGCTTGTTCCCCTCTTTTTAGTTCATGTATAACCTCCCTTTTTCTCTCTTCCTCTCCTTTCTGTTAGGCGAAGACCCATGATATCTTCTATATCTGGTTGACCAAGCTGTGCGCCCATCGTGTATTTAGGAAAAACGAGGCGATGAGTGTCCATCATGGTGTTCTTCATGCGCTCTCCATGGGCCAGAGTACTCTCCCAGCCATGGCCTCCCTTGCCCAGAATAGCAGAGCAACAGTAAGTCGATTCCTGCTGCAGTTAATGCAAAATTAAAGAAAACTGATTCCTGACAGATACAATTTTAGACGTGTAAGTTAAGGTACGGGATTTTCATATGAAATGTCTTTTTCTAACTTAAGGTTCCAGTAAAACAGTTTAAACAGCTAAACTCAGCACATCCCTGCTCACTAAAATGATAAATAATTACAACTCAGGGCAAGGATGATACCTCTGCTAAGGCTTACAGTCCCCATAAATTTAATGAAGCTGCAACAACTTCCAACCACTCAGATGTAAGATCCATTAATTGGAGCTCCGATGCTCCGTTTACACATTTAATAATCCCATGCATTCAGCCTTAATTTGTAATCCCTGGTGTAATTTGTTATAGTGATTACAGGTGCAAACACTTTTGTTGCTTTGAGGTTTGTACTTAAAGGTAGGGTTGTTGATCCCAGAAAAACTAACGAGAGCAGGCTACACAACTTATAGAACCCAGCCCCTCCCATCAGCCCTTTCGTCTAAGCCACTCCCCCAAAACACATGAACTTGTTCTGTCTGACAACTGCTGGAGGCCGAATTTTCTGTGACTCACTCAGTAACTTCTGGCTATTGTCCGTGCCTCATTGGTGTATGTCTCTGGCTTGTGAAGACCTGTGTTAGGTGAAAACACAAGCAGGGTGCACGCAAGCAGGCAGGTCGGTTAGTGACAGAAGGGTACATCTACCAATCATATTATTCAGACTGAAAGTTTATTACAGTTCTGTGACCGCCAAACATTTTCAGTATTTCAGAAACAACATACAATTTAACAACTCTACCTTTTAAGGGACTGTATTTCAATGTTCAAAGTTTATCTCCCTTATTTCAATTCAAAACTAAATTTTTATTATTATAAGATGGTACAAATTGTATTATACCTTGTGCAAAGGTGCCAGTGTAGCAGTTAATAAGGTAAAGATATTTGCTTTCTTAATACACATACAAGTTACTCAAATTCATCTGACATTTAGGAATCTAAATCTAACAGCTTTCATTTATTTTTATTGTGCCTGAAATTGTGATGGGTTTAATTTTCCAGCCTCCTACCTATGCAAGCTCGGCCTCAGTGTACCAAACAGAGAAGGGAAGCCCCGCCCCTGCCATCGCCTCCCACCCAGCGGTGACCAGGAAGGTGTCAGCCTGGCTGGAGCAGACCCACGACATTGATGCAACCTCTAACGGTGAGAGCCACCAGAAATCCTGATCCTCAGAGGGAAGCTTTGCTTAGTGATTGATGAACGTAACAGATGCAAATCTTTGTATGCGCTTTCGCTTGATCTCGAAATCTTTGACATTCTGCCCCTCTCTCTGTTAGACCTCGCTCGCTGTCAGACAGAGCTGACCGAACTGGCTCAGCTAATCCAGCGACTCCATTGGCTGGAAGGAGGCCTGCCAATCAGTAACTCAGACCTGGAGATGCGAATCAGCATGCAGGTGAGTGTTGTGGTTCCTCAGACTATTTCACTGGAAAGTAACAGTGGGGTCAGATCATTTGACATATGTTTCACCCAAGATTGTTTATGAATCAGCTGACAATAATGACCTGAACAAGATAACACATCACTGATCCTCCATAAATGAATATTAAGCACCAGAAAAACTGGGTTTTGTATTTTTTTTGAGAGAGGCTCGAACAGTCTTGTCCTTGTTTCAGAATATTTCCCTGGAAAAACCCAAGAAGAAGACAGGGAAGGGGATAGGTCACTCCAGGACTTTGTCCCGTGTTGAAGCCATGGGGGGAACGGTAAGACTGACTTCACTACTTTAACTGTATGTGCTCTGTTACGATTATGATTCATGTCATAGTCTCTTGTTTTTGTTAATAAATTGAGTCCACCTCATCCTTCGTCTTCTGCTCTCAGTTCACTTCCAGCCACCTGAGCACCAATCCCAGCTGTGCTTTGGCAGCATCTGTTCAGTCTATCCCGAACTACGTCTACTCTCAGCTGTCCAACCCTCAGGTCACTTCACCCGAGGCCAAGAAACTACAACAGGACATCTGCACTGTCTCCCAGAGGGGTACAGACTTCTGACTTGTAACAACTATATTTCTCTGAATAGCCTTGAGTTAGTGTTTTATGGTCAATGCACATCTTACTTGATTGTTGAAATCCAATAAAATAAACAATTGATGAAGAGAAATATCAGTCAAATTTAGACACTGATCAGATAGGGCTGTGTGTCCATACCTTATTGGATCCCATGATTAGTAATTGCAAGTAACTTGTCTGAGACGTAATATTCTGCAGGTTTTTTCAAAATGTTTTCTCTTTGTTGCAGTTCATTTATCTCTCAGGAACATACATGAGGTTTTATCCTTGGAGAGAGAGAGACTGAGGCAGGCTTGGGCCAGCCCTGACCTGAGACAGAACACCTCCCACCAGCTTGCGACACTGTGCAGCACGCTGTCAGAGGTAACTCTCTCACACACAGACAAAACTGGGAAACAAAACTCAAACCATCCTCATTCATTTAAAATCAGATGACAACAGCATGACATGAATGAATTAGTGTTCATCCCTCTTTACCTCTCTGTTCACTTCTCCACCTGCTGGAATCCCAAAGTGGAAAAGTGGATAACCTGCGCAAAATATTAGTATCGGCCTGCAAAAAAAGAATGAGGGCCAAGCCCTCACCGTCTGTAAGAGAGGTGCTGTGTGAAACTGTTTAGCAGGTTTGGGCTGTTTCTAGACAGGATAGGCATATGTTGTCCTAGGTGCGACCTGACGGAACACACCTCAAGCCTTTCTCTCCCTCTTTCCACACACAAAGACTCAATTAGAAACTGAGCAGTTCCCTCAGTCAATGTGCCTGTAAATACCTGCTGTCAAACTGACGCTGCTTCTTAACTCTTGTAGTTTGCTGTTGCATGAGGTTTCATCTCAGCTGCCTGTCTCCTTTCTTACCCTGCTTCTTAGCTCTGTATGTTTTAACAAGTGTTGATGTGACTTTGAGCTTTGCTTCGTTTGGCAGCAGCCTGTCGACCTGCATTCTCGCTTCGAGCAACACACGCCACATATAACAAGTTGCTTAAATTCCTGTTCTCTTCTCTGCACTGAGCTTGTAGTTAGTCATTAGTGTTGATTAGATGGGGATTGCATGAAAAAAATATAATTGAATTACAAAAAAAGGATGTGGTTTCATCCTCTGGCTGCATAAACATTTAGTTTTTGACCACGTGATGTGAGGTCTGCATGTTTTTGACCTTCTCTGCTTCCTCTTCTTGTGCCCTGCATGGCTGGTCTGGGTATGTGTGTGTGCATGTCCATGCTCGTGTGTAGCTTGACATACAGTCACGTCTGACCAAAGTCCACTCGCTTTCCCTGTCCTCTGAATCTACTGAAGAATCCTTCTGCACTGTCCGTCCAGACCAGGTGTGTACTGCATTGTGTGTTTGTATATGAGAGTCCATTCGTCCCTTTATATATGTCAATTTCATGACCTTGCTGTCTGCCATTTGCATTCATCCTTACCTTGCATGTAAATTATGGGAAAAGTGTTTATGATCCCAGATGCTATCGCAACAGAGCACAATCTGCTACAAGCCAATTTGAATGAGTGTAGTCATGGGATTGACATGATTAGGTAAAGTGTGTGGATGTTTGGTGGGTAGTACTGGTGAGAATTGAACCTCACATCTGATCGTGTGTGACAGTTGATTGTGTCTGTCGACTGGGTCTCCTCACATGCCTGTTGGCTAGTGATCTGTCTCCTCTTTGTACTTTGCACACTGCAGAAAAATATAAGTGTATTGTAACGTGTTGATCCTCTTCCCCTCCTCCTCTGCTCCCCCCAACAGAGAACACCATCAATGGGTCGTCACAGTCAACGTACACCCTCAGTGGCTGATTCTATGGCAGAGTATTTTGACGCCAGCGAAGTGATCATGTGCGAGAGCTCATCAGAGGCTGAAGCTTCAGATGAGTCTGGCCTGAGTGACATCACCACCACCAGCAACTCTGAGCCAGAAGAGGGACATAGTGAGTGTTAAAGTGGAAATGAATCACTTACTGTATTCAGCATAAGTTAAGAGGGATTCCTGCTCTAAAAATCCTTACAGGTTTTGAAAAAATCAGCAATCTAAAATCCCTATTTCATATATAGAATATTATAGATTATTCTGCTAGCACTGGATGTGATTTCGTGCTGCTGATTGGCGTTCAAGTCCTGCATAAACGAACTACTGATAGCACTAATAATCCCAGAATCATTAGAAAACATGGAGCTCCAAACTAAAATTCGACTCAAGATGGCTCTGATGCAGTCATGAATTTTACAGAGTTAAAAACCATGGGAAGATCGTCCACTTTCATGTTTACCACTAAAGTAGCCATTGGTTCTTCGTTGTTGGTTGGCGGCATTGAAATGGCAGAATCCTGTTTGAAGTGAGCACTTCATACAAGAACACTGTGGAGGAGAGTTTTGAGTCCGTTATATTGATGGTTTGGCAGATCAACAAGCTGAAGTCTGAGGCTGCTCCCTGTTTGACTTTTCCTCTTTTAAGGTCGGGTGTACAGACCACCCAACGCATTGTGCTAGCAAAGACGTAGCTGCATGCCTCGGTCTCGTCTTCTGTCATATTTTCTACTGATTACCGGTCGTAAATGACTCTCTCCTCTCCTTTTCCAGCCACTGCCACCCTCAACTACAGAGCCAGTCTGAACAACGCTCCTAACGAACCCAGCCCATCAGCCACCAATACTGGTAATTTTATATTACTTCCTTCATTTTCAAGCATAACTCACTTACTTTAACTGTGTTTTTCTATTTGGACATATAGACTATTTAGTGTTTGGGTTAGTTTTTAGTTAGATGTAATTTGTGATGCCAAGATTCCATTTTTCTAGGTGGGGTCATTTCACATCCTGATATATACGAACTGCCCTCAGACATGCACTCAATTCTGGAAAATCTCCTGAACTCACGCAGAGGGGCATGTGTGTATGTGAAAATGCAAATGTACGATGTAGTTTTTCTGAGTGAGAATAAAGCAGGAAAAAAAGAAACAAAGGCCCAATCCCATTTCACCCCTTCTCCCAACCCCTACCCCTTGTTTTCAAGGGTTATTTAAACTCTGTTTCAAGGGGCAGTGGTTGAAATCTTCCCCTACGAATTGGGACAGCACTTCAACAAACCTATCATTATTCATCGCAAAAACTCGACACATCATCAGAGTCAAGTCAGAGAACTAGTCAAGTATTGGGACAGCCTTCCATTACAGGGCTCAAAACAGAGGGGAAGGGCTAAGGGCAAGGGAGAAGGGGATTTGGCCAAAGAATACAAATATCTCAGGATGAAAAAGAGGTGGCATACACATGAAGAAAGAAATGATGACTTGGAAACATTTGAGAGCTTTTTGTGATAAGGGCAGATGGCAGTGTTGATTTGCTGTAAGCAAAAACACATGATATCCACAGTGGATTTTATACATGTTCAGCCTCCTGCCTGCTCTACCCAGACAACACTGCTCTCGACCATTTGAAATTGTATCCACATGTGTCCAGATGTTAAGTTGTCATAGCAGCTGTTGTTGCCCTCCATCATGATTCTTTGTTGTACTGCAGGCAAAAGCCTCCCACAGTGTGTAAGTCTTGGATTTGTTAACAGTTTTTTGTGGGTCTTCTCTGTAGACTCTCCGTAGAAGTTAGTGGTATTTTGAATCAGTTGTGAGAAGCGGTATGCGGCAGTTGCACAGCAGTCAGAGATGACGCCTCTTGAGTGCAAGCAATGGTAAATACTTGTTATTGTGAAGAGAGCTCTAAGAAATGCTAATTGCTGTTGGGCAAAAGTGCAAATTCTGGTTTCCATCAGGATAGTTATGTTTGATACCAATACTTTTGATTTAACTTTGCTTACAGTTTATTAAAGAACAATTATAGCAAGGAACGTTTGCCACATTCCCGGTGTTCAGTTTTAAAATAAAGTTTCAAAAGAAAATATTTAATCTTTACTTGTTAAACTGAAGTACAATATGAACAATGGGGAACAGAAAATGGCTGTTGTTTTTGTGTTGCTTTATTATCTACACTGTGGCAGCCCATTCATCTTGCCATAGATTTAAAGAATTGTTGATCCTGTTGTCAAAAAAATCATATTTAGACTGTTATTATTTGTATATGCTTACATCTATATATGTAAAGCCATGTTGCATTTGCATCTGTCAATGTGTGTTTCATCCAGGTGCCAACTGGATGGGTTAAATGCGGAGAACAATTTCATGTAAACATGTAAAAGTGTTAAACTTGACAATAAAAGTATATCTTCTTCTTATGTGATCCAGGTCGTCGCACCACTCTCCCTGCCCAAGGAACAGACAACAGCCACATTGGAATCATGACCATTCTGTACAACAACATCGGCAAGGACCTGTCCAGAGTCTCCATGCCGGTCGCTCTAAATGAGCCACTGTCTCTGCTGCAGAGAGTCAGTGAAGAGCTGGAGTACCCAGAGCTGCTAGAAATGGCCAACCACATTGACGATCCTTATGAGCGAATGGTGAGTTTGGTTTGCTGAGATCACTAATCAGCTGGATCCGTGAAGAATATGAGCTCATTAAACTAACTTTGTTCATTTTCTTTTTTAAATGTGTATGTTACCAGGTTTATGTGGCAACATTCTCCATCTCTGGCTACGCCTGGGCGACATGGAGGAATCATTACAAACCCTTCAATCCTGTTCTAGGAGAAACGTATGAGAGTCACAGAGAAGACAGAGGCTTCCATTACATCAGCGAGCAGGTAACCAGCAGGAAGGGAGGAACAAATATGTTGACAAAATCTCTACCATTTGGGTTTGGAACAAGATGGATGTATGTGTGTTGTTTACAGGTCTCCCATCACCCACCCATCTCTGCCTGCCACGCTGAGTCAGAAAACTTCACTTTCTGGCAAGGTAGGATCAGTGTGTGTGATAAGTGCTGGATCCACCGTATGGGCACCGTTAAACCTAACACTGTTAGTTTCTGTTGGTCTGTCTGCTCTCAGATCAGAGATGGAAGAACAAGTTTTGGGGGAAATCAATGGAGGTCATCTCTAGCGGACTGGTCAATGTTGCCCTGCCCAGGTGAGCCACTGCTTCCTTTAACAAAACCAGTCACACAATACAGTAGAGAAATTATTGATTCCTTAATGACCATGAAGAAGTCAAACATAATTGCACTGTTTTGTGTGTGAAGGTATGGGGATCACTATGAATGGAACAAGGTCGTGACATGTATCCACAATGTGCTGAGTCAGCAGCGCTGGTTGGAACACTATGGTGAGGTGGTCATCAAAAACACAAAGAGTGACGTATGCACCTGCAAGATCACCTTCGTCAAGGTCAGGACACACGTTGTCTCGCTGCTTATTCGGTGAAACGTCCAAATCCTGCACATGGACTCTTCCTCTGCTTCTGTTTAACCACTCTGACCCTTTCCTCTTTATATTCTAGTCTCGATACTGGACCTCAGATAACAGTAAGAACGAGGTGCAGGGTGTGGTTCTCGACCGGGCTGGAGAGGTGGTCCATCGCTTTGGAGGCCTCTGGCATGAAGGCATCTTCTGCGACACCCTTGCTACTCCAAAGTGCATCTGGAAGCCCAGTGAGTAGAATCTCGTCCTGTTTGAACATTGTTAATGTCCTGACAAATCAGCTTTTGACTTCAAAATTCGCCCGCTGGCGCCACCATCTACTTCATTTTCTTTGTAGGTATCAAACCCATTGGATTTTCACGCGTCAGTGGTAACACCTACATTCATTAAAAAAATTACAACTTACAAAAACCTAGTCATACGACGTGTCCGACCCAGGCAGCACCAGTCCCATCAGTGCAGTGGAGTCTAATCGCATGTTTAGAGGAAGGTTGACTGACAATGAGCAGGATTTAGTGTCAAATTAAAAACAAACTGGTATTAAAGGTCCAGTGTGTAAGATTTAGTTGGAACTATTGGCAGAAATTTAATATAGAATTTTCCTTGTGATGTTTTCACTTCTAGTTTTCTTTACCCCAGAAAAAAGCCCCTTGTTGTTTTTTTACATTACTCCAGACTGAACAAACTAAACACCTTTTGAGATTTTATGAGAACTGAAGCTACCACATGTTCTTTTTCATGTTGCGAGGTGAGGAGTGTTCAGCTGCAACATGCAATTCCAACATTAGATATCACAGAATTCTACACACTGAACCATTAAGCCTAGTTCTGCCTGCTTGAAAAATACTTTTAAAAGTGAATGGACTCCTTGGTTGTGTTATGTCTATAGTGTAAAAAATGTTTCTTATGAAACGATAAATGAGACTATGGGTCCTATAGTCTACATAATTGAAAGAAACCTTCAAGTGCACAACAAGAATCAATCTAGCCAACTCTGCTAAAACCATTCATTTTTAGAAAATATTATCTTACCACGTTACAGAAAGGACTTACTTTGTGCGTTTTTCTCCACATTGCGTTTAGTTCTTGATATTTACAAAGTTCTTTCCTGTTTAGATGTGCAGCCTGATGATCACGCCCAGTTTTATGGCTTCTCACAATACGCCAGAGAGCTAAACGAACTGACACCTGACCTGAAGGCCGTTCTTCCAAAAACTGACACACGCTTCAGACCAGACCAGAGGTACAATTTTTTTCTATTTAAAAAGAGAAATGTTTTGCTGTCCTGTCTCCCATGTTGCAGAGTTTAATTATGTGGAATCTTTCGCTCAGGAGGTAGAGCGGGTAGTACACTAAAGTGGAAGCTTCTACCGTCTGCATGTAGAAGTGTGCTTGGGCAGTACTGAACCACAAATTGCCCCAACACTGTACTATCTGTGTGCAGGTGTCAGTGAAGTGATGCATGAACATGTGTTTGACTGGATATGTAACACTTGGAGTGAATGCTAAGAATATAAATGCAGTCAGTCCATTGAACTCTTCTCTTCATCAAGGCTTCTGGAGAATGGGGAGGTGGCAGAGGCAGATAAAAAGAAAGATGAGGTGGAGGAGAAGCAGAGGGAGAGGAGGAAGGAAATGGCCAAGAGAGGGGAGGAGCACATTCCCAGGTTTTTCAGGTGAGCAGCTATGCGTTCGAACACTTTGGATGGAAGATTTCAGTGAGATACGTATACATTAGAAACAACTAAAAGTTGTTTTCTCATCACACTAATGTTAAGTCCTTTATTAGAAGTGCCTGATTCCTACATTATGTCTTCATCTTCAGGTTTAAGTGTTTGTGTTTTCAAACACTTCACTTGTGTCAGTTAGCCTGCTTATGAAAACATTCTGCAAAAGCATTTAAATTCTGCCCTGTGCAGCTTCTCTAGTCTCTAGCACTGGTTTAGCTGCCCAGGAAAGTCAGAGAGATGGCATGCGTTTTTAAATCGACTCGTGATGCCGTTAATCAAATCTGTAAATTCCGATGAGCCCTCCAGCCAGATGTGGTGCGAGATGCACATTAGGAAGAAACGGGAGGAAGAATAGATGGTGAGAAACAGTCATTGAAATGTACGAAAAGTGACTTCACACGAGCTGCTTTAAAAGAGAAAAATAGTCAGTGACAACTCAGATTTAAATGAAGACTGGACAGATTCTTCTATTCATTCTTCTGACAGGGAGTTCAAAACCAGTAAGTCTCATATGTTCAGAGACAACACTACACCATTCCAACTAAGATTTAAAATCCTGGACAAGAAAAGTGTGGGTTGGACATTAGAGAATAATAAGAAAAAT